AAAACATAAAATAATATTTTATAATAAACAAGACCAAAATAATATAAGAAACTTAAAAAAATATTAATAAAAAACAATAATAAAATATAAAAAAACTTAATAAAAAAATAAAAAAAAATAAATATAGAAAAGAAATAAAGAAAATTAAAAACAAAAATAAAAAAATATAACTAACAAAATATTTTTTAAAAATAATAAAAAAAATTATGTAAAATAAATTTAAGTAAATAAAAACTAAAAAAATAATAGCGAATAAAGTAAAACAGAACACCTTTCTAAACATCAAACTACAGGAGATAATATCCTTTAACATGCTTATGAATTAGGCAAATAATGAGATTTAAATAAGGAAAAGAAAATATTTCTTTTTAACTTGGCAGCAAGTATATATTAAGCAAGTCCCGTGTTAAGGAAACATGGAGAACTGTATAGAAACTTATACTGGATGTATAAGAAACAAAACCTGACTACTGGCGCGGAGAGTATGATAACGAATATGCATATCAGCCCTTGTCATACTTGGAAAACTGTACATAAACTTATACTAGATATATACGAAACAGAGCGTGTATATACTGAAGTCAACTGAAGTTGAGTCCGTGACTACTGATCATGAATTTATATACTCACTAATAAAGGTTTCTCATAATAATATCGGAACCACCAGGTTAGTATGTACCACACAACACATCAAATGGACAATTAAAATAAATGAAAGTAATCCCGTTTCTGTTATATGTTAACCAAAAAATGAAAATACGAAAAATATCTGTAAGTAATTTATGAAAAATAAAGATGGATTGCTGAAAACATAAGCACAAATTATGCAGTTAGAGAAAAAGAATCGTATATCACTCAACAGTTCGTTAGCTAAAAATACAGTACACAATGTAGTCTATTGTAAAAGCTGTTATATGCCCGAAAGAACAAGCATATTAATAATAAAGATATGTTTAATGGAAATATTATCAGTTGCAAAGGAATAGTACTAATAATAAGCACATGGAGGACATATGACACTATTGAACTTAAACAAGATTTCACTAAGTTTCTCGGTGTAGAACTTAAAATTTACAAAATAAATACATTACCATACCAGACCGCAACAGTAAAACCTATATTGTTAAGTATAGAACAGAGGGATCAAGTACACCGCCTAAGACGACTTGAAACGAGTATATCTAATCTGTGACAGTCAAACAGTAGTATTTAAAAAAATGTGACCAGTCCTTAAAAGAGAGAACTTGAATGCATGTAAATGAATTCATATAATGCATATAATTAAAAAAATGATTATAATGTTATCTTGTATCTCGGATAGTGAAAAAAAAAAGTATTAAACTTTATTTATTAAATACAATCTGTTGGTATCATATATTCAGTGCAATTCGTAAATACAAGTTATGTTAACTAATATTAGTAAAAATTACCAGTGCGCTATTGCGCAGTACTTTTGACAAGAACCTCAGCAAGAATGATGACTGTTAAGAAAAACAGTAAAGGTTTTATTATACAAAAAAAATTTTTTAAATTGTCAAAAAAAAAAAGAGAATTTAGGTACTACTACTTCATACTATTATAAATATTGTAATTAGCAAGCAAACCCTGTTAAACAGACGCCCCCACAAACAGACATCTTTCTTAACCGTACAATGTTCCTACATAGTTCCCTAACTACATCCTATATAGAGCCCACGAATGATCAAAACTGCCTGTACAGTATACATTGATGTCCACTTAGTAGAACTTTCACTCTATATACTACGAGTATTGAATTATTAACTACCATGATTAAATGTGTGTAAAGGGTATTAAGCTTTTGGTTTAACTTTAATTTTTCTACTTTTTCTTAGCTCTTATAAATTATACTTTGTTTTTAACAACTCTTAAAAAATTCATATATAATTTCTTAGTTTATGAATTGACATTCGATCATCGAAACTGGCAAAAGTAAGAAGAGCGTGACATTGTAGAAATTAAAAAGAAACAATAAAACTATTTGAAAATAAAATAGTCATAAAACTAGTCTGGATTTATTTTGTGGAAGAGAAGACCTAAGCCGGCAAACTTGTTTAAATGCTTACACCTTCTTTTGTAAGATTTATGAAGTCGAAAGACATTTTGCAAAACATTTTTAATCTACGGTGGTTTCATTAATATAACTTTGTTAATTAAATGGGAAAAACATATTTTATATCAAAAATTAAAATGTAAATAACACATTTATACAAATATATAGAAATATTATTATAATTTCATAAAATATAATATGATTTTTGAATAAAATAAACATAGATTATTATGATTATATGAAATAAAAACTAATAACAGTTAACACAGAAGAAATATATTTTGTCATAAAGAACATTCTTAATAACTCTAAACTTTTACTAAATACTATACACGACATATTTGACAAGTGACATGTAGCAATTAATTTTTGAAAGAAAAATTAATTATAGAGAACGAGAATTATAACTACGCACACAGTTGCCACTTATGGTACTTTAGTACCAAAATTGGTACTTTTTTTTCGTTTGGTACTCATGTTCAAAAAATGGTACATTTTTGACGACCCAACTTTATTGTGGATATTTCCAATTAATTTTTTTTATAAATGCAACTTTACACTATATTATATTTTGTTCATTTATAACACTATGAAAAACACAGAACGAAAAAACAAAAAGTCCAAAAAAATTTTGGACCTTTTTTTACAGAAATGGTACCTTTTTAAACCAATTTTGGTACAGAAAAAAATTTTGGTACAGAAAAAAATTTTCAAGTGGTAACCGTGACTACGCAGCACATATGATTTATTCTCTATAGGAGCGCCAAATAATATATTACAAAATGAAGGAAATAAACGCATCTATTGCATATACGAAAATTAATCATCTATAATAGTTATGAATTTATTTTACCCCTATACCAATTTTACCGGGACTCATTTTATATATATAAGAAAAATCAATTATAAGAAATGAGAATTATAACTATGTAACACATAGGAATGGTATATAATAGATTCGGAAAAGAAACATAATAAATCATATAGCGAAAAAAATGCATTTATCGGATTACAAAATATTTAAGGGAATTTTGATTAAAATAAACAGACAACATCTAATTTTTTTTTTTAAATTATAAAATTTTATTTGATTCTTTTTTTTTCCTTTTTTGTATGTTATGAAATTATTTTGTAAACATTTCCTATCCCAGAATTTTCCTTCTGTAACCAACATTTGAAAGTGGTAATGATTATTTCCTTTTTTTAATGAAATTGCACAAATTCATTTCTACCAACTAGGAAAAAATCGTATCTCATTTTTCATTGCATTTTTTTTTTCAAATTTGTTCGCTTCAAAAAGCCAAATACAAGAAAACAACACATTATTAAATATTCAGCGATATCAGGTGCTATTAACGCAAATAATTTTCTTCGTTTTTAAAGAACTAGGGCCACATAATATGGAACCCAATTAATTCCATTTGATCGGCACAGATATGAAGATATATGTATATGTCACACGAACAGGCAGGGCAAGGCTTGCCATCAAGCCAAATGAAATTTAAGTTATTTAAATATCTGATTCTTTTAAGGAAGAAAGTGAAGATCCTCCTGTGCAAAATCTTTCTCAATGTCAGTGGGCAGTACCCAATTTTCTATGAATAATGTCGAACTAATGAATCAAGGTTCGACAATAGCTTCAATGGTTGCACGGTTTCATGCGTGTGCACTCTTCACACTGTTTACCTCGGCTTAACTTGGTAAACGTCTTTCCTAAAGATTTTTCTGTTTAATTCAACTTTTGCGCTGTGATATCTGATAAACCAGTCCTGGGTATTTACTCAGAGGCCCCTTAAAATAATTTACAATTCATTAAATAAATTATTCAATAAAGACATATTGTTG